ACTCTGCCACACTCCACTGGAGCATCACCCCTTCATTCCTGCACCGTGCACCCCCCTGGAATTCTTCTCACCATGGTTGAACCCCACAAATATTCTGCCCAGTCTCCCCCCTCCGCTCAAGAATTCCTATTGTCAGATCAGACAGAAAACCTTCTGTTCTCATCCGAGGAATCAGAGAATTCCGCATAATATTTGGGGGAGTCTGCACCTGACCCCCCTTCTTTTTGTGACTCTAGGATTGTATTATTATCACATATGATTCCCGGATTCCTCTCATGTGTCTGTTATGTAACCTGATGGAGGAGGAAGCACATGTGTGCTGTGTTCAGCTGACGCCACCCCCCAGGCCCCGCCCCCTTCTCCTGACACCTCTCTCCTCTCTTGCATCATACTTTCCAATGAATGAAGTTTTTTCTGCACTTGTGTCCATGCAGCATGTCAGCCCTGCTGCAGAACATCGCACCTTCAACCCCGCAATCTATAGAGCTTCTGCAGACCAATCGCTCTGCAACATTGTCACAGTCTGCAGACCATCGCTCTGCTACATTGTCACAGTCTGCAGACCATCGCTCTGCTACATTTTCCCACTCTGCAGACCATCGCTCTGCTACATTGTCACACTCTGCAGACCGTCGCTCTGCTACATTGTCCCACTCTGCAGATCATCGCTCTGCTACATTGTCATACTCTGCAGACCATGCAGCTCCTCAGAATTATGCAGAGCATTGCAGCCCCAGGCACCCTGCTTACCTGGATTTTGGCGATGAGCTCCTTGGGGGTCAGTCCTGGACATTCGGTGACTTGGATGCCCCCCTGGGATGTCAGGATGCGGGCACAGGCCGGTGCCAGGCTGTCACTGATCAGGACCCGTCTGATGTCACTGAGGGCCATCGCTGGAGCTCTGCAGACACGTCTATTCCTCCTGGATCAATCCAAATCACTGGATAGCCCTCCCCCATTCCCTCCTCTATGGGTGGAAGGCTCCTCCCCCTCTGATGTCACATGGCACAGATTTCTGTTCTGAATTTTACTTTTTCTGACATTTTCCTGAAATTCTCCCAGAATTCCCCACACTGGACGCGCTCGCTGTGCGTTATCGATACTTATCGCCATGTTGATGTTTATCGCTCTTCATTCGTCAGAGAATCCGCTCAAAATCATGACTGCGAATGGGCGGATTTCCCCAAAAATATCAAATATGTGACGACTCCACACAATACCCCCAAACCTGCGTCCGGATCCGCAAAACTCCCAAACCTGCGTCCGGATCCGCAATGCCCCAAACCTGCGTCCAGACCCACAATGCCCCAAACCTGCTTGTGTGAGCTCCTGTGGTTCAGGTGGTGATATGATTGTGGGGGGGACATTAGAGTGTGAGCTCCCCTGGTTCAGGTGGTGAAGGGTTTGTGGGGGGGACATTAGAGTGTGAGCTCCTCTGGTTCAGGTGGTGATGTGATTGTGGGGGGGACATTAGAGTGTGAGCTCCCCTGGTTCAGGTGGTGATATGATTGTGGGGGGGACATTAGAGTGTGAGCTCCTTTGGTTCAGGTGGTGATGGGATATCTGGGTAGATCTGCAGGATGTTTGGACAGATGAATGCAGGAAATGTATGATTATCTATCTGGAGGGGACTTCGGGGACATTTGAGGGTCATTCTGAGTTTGAAGGTTTAATATTGACTTTCTCAGGTCGTGATGTCATTGGACGGTTGTCTTGTATGTGACCTCCATAAACAGATCCGGTCTCTGATTGGTTGCACTCAGGACGTACAGTCCATATCGCGCTCGGCGTCTGTCGATAACGGATGATGACAATAATGACACAATATTCTGTCCGAAGGTTTCATTAAATAATTCTTTATTGCTACAAAATATTTATTGCTCCCTCGTGATATATAGTCGGGGTGATCATGTATGTGCGTGGCCTGCGGGGAAATTGAGGCGCTCGTCTTGGGCTTCAGACAGAGGACAGACCATAATGTGAACTCAATGGGTCCAATTGATGTGCGTAGCCGCCATCTTTGAGTACAGATAACCTAAGGCTGAGCTCTGATTCTGGGGTCTTGGTCCCCACCTTGCTATATAAAGTGGTCAGGCATCGGCCCTCAGCTCTCCATCATCTTGTTGTCACTACATCAGCCGGTGTAAGAGTAGAGTGTAGAGGAAGAGGAGGAGGGTGAGACATGACGATGGGCAGATGGAGCCGTTGGTCGGGTCCAAAGGAGTGATCACAGCCGGAGTCACCTGGAAATTGGGGACATATTGTTGGATCCAGCTGGAGTACGACGTCACTCTGGTATAGACACCTGGGCGGTTGGCGAGGGCACAGCCAAATCCCCAGCTGACGATGCCGGCTAGGAGCCATGAGCCATCCCATTTGCAAGCAAGAGGACCACCCGAGTCACCCTGTGGAGTTCAGAGACGCACAATGTTAGAGACAAAAGATCAGAAGATGGGATCACGGCCTTCTCTATGAACAGATATGGGGGCGACAAGCCGCTCGTTTCCTCCTTTGAAGGGGGTCGGATTTCATTGTTTTGGGAAACCTTGGAGACTTTTATGAAGGGTTTCTCATATCTATTATGTATTCTACTTGAAGATCTGCACACCTGACTTCTCAGGTCTGTACGTCCCCAGGGGGTTCCCACACTACCTGCCAAATTTATAATTAATTTTAGGGGAAATGAAGAGGATAAGGTGGGAACACCTCCTAGGTGGGCGGGAAAACCCCAACATGAGCAGGAACCTGGGCTAGAACTATAGCAGGGCCATCCCATCACTGGTTACCTAAGGGGGTGCATGAAACCAGACCGCTACGGCAGAGATCAGACACTAGTGGCGTTCACCACTATATTGGCGCACAGTACAGAGGACCATCGTGTATATAATAGTTTATTGCAGGAATGGATAATTCCAGACATGGATCCCCAATGTGCCTCTTTTAGGACAGCCGGAGCCTGTTTTGATGTGGCCAATAAAAGTCCACGTTCCTCAGCTTTTTGGAAGTATCTTTCAGCTTCCACACTGTTTGAAATGGCTCCAAAACTAGTTTCCACCATTGGCCGGAAGACCATTATTGGCCAGGAACACCGCCAATGACCAATGACTGACAACCCGTCCCCTCTCGTTTACCTGACATGCATCCTTCTGTCCCTTCTCGAATCCTGCACAGATCATGTCCCATTGGATGATGGTTTTGTTGGGGCTCAGCGTTGGGTTATTGATGTGGTACATGGCATCACATTCCTTTTGTTCTATAATCGGAAGTTGGACCTTCTGAAGGGTTTGTGGAGACGGCAGGCTCACTGCAATAGACAAGGTATTGTTATTGGTTACTCTGTGTCTGTTCCTCTACATTCCTCTTCACATGTATGTGGAAACCATCAAACAAAATGTACAACAATGGAACTGAAGTACGCACATGTCGGTCAGATGTCTTCATAAGCAGAGCGCCAACCTCACCTTCAGTGTCCTCTCCTGGACTGAAATGTCTTACTCTGATGTCACTGCACACTCTGAGCCTCTCACAATGTGCATTAGAAGCTGCAGCAACTCAGATAGAGCCCGCCTCATTCCCTGGCTGGAGGACATCCAGCATTATATAGCCATTTCCTCCCCTTCCCTTTGCTTGCTGGTGTTGAGAAGGTACAATGATTTGGGTTAGGCATATTTATTCTTCCCTGGCCAATCACTGAGGGGTTTATTGTAGTGAGGTCCTTTGTCTCAGATTATGCCTTGGGAGGATGGAGAGCCTGGGGTGGATGTCTGTGTGAGAGGTTCCTTGCCTTCTAGGCCTTTGCCTGGGGCGGATGTCTGTGTGAGAGGTTCTTTGCCTTCTAGGCCTTTGCCTGGGGCGGATGTCTGTGTGAGAGGTTCTTTGCCTTCTAGGCCTTTGCCTGGGGCGGATGTCTGTGTGAGAGGTTCTTTGCCTTCTAGGCCTTTGCCTGGGGCGGATGTCTGTGTGAGAGGTTCTTTGCCTTCTAGGCCTTTGCCTGGGGCGGATGTCTGTGTGAGAGGTTCTTTGCCTTCTAGGCCTTTGCCTGGGGCGGATGTCTGTGTGAGAGGTTCTTTGCCTTCTAGGCCTTTGCCTGGGGCGGATGTCTGTGTGAGAGGTTCTTTGCCTTCTAGGCCTTTGCCTGGGGCGGATGTCTGTGTGAGAGGTTCTTTGCCTTCTAGGCCTTTGCCTGGGGCGGATGTCTGTGTGAGAGGTTCTTTGCCTTCTAGGCCTTTGCCTGGGGCGGATGTCTGTGTGAGAGGTTCTTTGCCTTCTAGGCCTTTGCCTGGGGCGGATGTCTGTGTGAGAGGTTCTTTGCCTTCTAGGCCTTTGCCTGGGGCGGATGTCTGTGTGAGAGGTTCTTTGCCTTCTAGGCCTTTGCCTGGGGCGGATGTCTGTGTGAGAGGTTCTTTGCCTTCTAGGCCTTTGCCTGGGGCGGATGTCTGTGTGAGAGGTTCTTTGCCTTCTAGGCCTTTGCCTGGGGCGGATGTCTGTGTGAGAGGTTCTTTGCCTTCTAGGCCTTTGCCTGGGGCGGATGTCTGTGTGAGAGGTTCTTTGCCTTCTAGGCCTTTGCCTGGGGCGGATGTCTGTGTGAGAGGTTCTTTGCCTTCTAGGCCTTTGCCTGGGGCGGATGTCTGTGTGAGAGGTTCTTTGCCTTCTAGGCCTTTGCCTGGGGCGGATGTCTGTGTGAGAGGTTCTTTGCCTTCTAGGCCTTTGCCTGGGGCGGATGTCTGTGTGAGAGGTTCTTTGCCTTCTAGGCCTTTGCCTGGGGCGGATGTCTGTGTGAGAGGTTCTTTGCCTTCTAGGCCTTTGCCTGGGGCGGATGTCTGTGTGAGAGGTTCTTTGCCTTCTAGGCCTTTGCCTGGGGCGGATGTCTGTGTGAGAGGTTCTTTGCCTTCTAGGCCTTTGCCTGGGGCGGATGTCTGTGTGAGAGGTTCTTTGCCTTCTAGGCCTTTGCCTGGGGCGGATGTCTGTGTGAGAGGTTCTTTGCCTTCTAGGCCTTTGCCTGGGGCGGATGTCTGTGTGAGAGGTTCTTTGCCTTCTAGGCCTTTGCCTGGGGCGGATGTCTGTGTGAGAGGTTCTTTGCCTTCTAGGCCTTTGCCTGGGGCGGATGTCTGTGTGAGAGGTTCTTTGCCTTCTAGGCCTTTGCCTGGGGCGGATGTCTGTGTGAGAGGTTCTTTGCCTTCTAGGCCTTTGCCTGGGGCGGATGTCTGTGTGAGAGGTTCTTTGCCTTCTAGGCCTTTGCCTGGGGCGGATGTCTGTGTGAGAGGTTCTTTGCCTTCTAGGCCTTTGCCTGGGGCGGATGTCTGTGTGAGAGGTTCTTTGCCTTCTAGGCCTTTGCCTGGGGCGGATGTCTGTGTGAGAGGTTCTTTGCCTTCTAGGCCTTTGCCTGGGGCGGATGTCTGTGTGAGAGGTTCTTTGCCTTCTAGGCCTTTGCCTGGGGCGGATGTCTGTGTGAGAGGTTCTTTGCCTTCTAGGCCTTTGCCTGGGGCGGATGTCTGTGTGAGAGGTTCTTTGCCTTCTAGGCCTTTGCCTGGGGCGGATGTCTGTGTGAGAGGTTCTTTGCCTTCTAGGCCTTTGCCTGGGGCGGATGTCTGTGTGAGAGGTTCTTTGCCTTCTAGGCCTTTGCCTGGGGCGGATGTCTGTGTGAGAGGTTCTTTGCCTTCTAGGCCTTTGCCTGGGGCGGATGTCTGTGTGAGAGGTTCTTTGCCTTCTAGGCCTTTGCCTGGGGCGGATGTCTGTGTGAGAGGTTCTTTGCCTTCTAGGCCTTTGCCTGGGGCGGATGTCTGTGTGAGAGGTTCTTTGCCTTCTAGGCCTTTGCCTGGGGCGGATGTCTGTGTGAGAGGTTCTTTGCCTTCTAGGCCTTTGCCTGGGGCGGATGTCTGTGTGAGAGGTTCTTTGCCTTCTAGGCCTTTGCCTGGGGCGGATGTCTGTGTGAGAGGTTCTTTGCCTTCTAGGCCTTTGCCTGGGGCGGATGTCTGTGTGAGAGGTTCTTTGCCTTCTAGGCCTTTGCCTGGGGCGGATGTCTGTGTGAGAGGTTCTTTGCCTTCTAGGCCTTTGCCTGGGGCGGATGTCTGTGTGAGAGGTTCTTTGCCTTCTAGGCCTTTGCCTGGGGCGGATGTCTGTGTGAGAGGTTCTTTGCCTTCTAGGCCTTTGCCTGGGGCGGATGTCTGTGTGAGAGGTTCTTTGCCTTCTAGGCCTTTGCCTGGGGCGGATGTCTGTGTGAGAGGTTCTTTGCCTTCTAGGCCTTTGCCTGGGGCGGATGTCTGTGTGAGAGGTTCTTTGCCTTCTAGGCCTTTGCCTGGGGCGGATGTCTGTGTGAGAGGTTCTTTGCCTTCTAGGCCTTTGCCTGGGGCGGATGTCTGTGTGAGAGGTTCTTTGCCTTCTAGGCCTTTGCCTGGGGCGGATGTCTGTGTGAGAGGTTCTTTGCCTTCTAGGCCTTTGCCTGGGGCGGATGTCTGTGTGAGAGGTTCTTTGCCTTCTAGGCCTTTGCCTGGGGCGGATGTCTGTGTGAGAGGTTCTTTGCCTTCTAGGCCTTTGCCTGGGGCGGATGTCTGTGTGAGAGGTTCTTTGCCTTCTAGGCCTTTGCCTGGGGCGGATGTCTGTGTGAGAGGTTCTTTGCCTTCTAGGCCTTTGCCTGGGGCGGATGTCTGTGTGAGAGGTTCTTTGCCTTCTAGGCCTTTGCCTGGGGCGGATGTCTGTGTGAGAGGTTCTTTGCCTTCTAGGCCTTTGCCTGGGGCGGATGTCTGTGTGAGAGGTTCTTTGCCTTCTAGGCCTTTGCCTGGGGCGGATGTCTGTGTGAGAGGTTCTTTGCCTTCTAGGCCTTTGCCTGGGGCGGATGTCTGTGTGAGAGGTTCTTTGCCTTCTAGGCCTTTGCCTGGGGCGGATGTCTGTGTGAGAGGTTCTTTGCCTTCTAGGCCTTTGCCTGGGGCGGATGTCTGTGTGAGAGGTTCTTTGCCTTCTAGGCCTTTGCCTGGGGCGGATGTCTGTGTGAGAGGTTCTTTGCCTTCTAGGCCTTTGCCTGGGGCGGATGTCTGTGTGAGAGGTTCTTTGCCTTCTAGGCCTTTGCCTGGGGCGGATGTCTGTGTGAGAGGTTCTTTGCCTTCTAGGCCTTTGCCTGGGGCGGATGTCTGTGTGAGAGGTTCTTTGCCTTCTAGGCCTTTGCCTGGGGCGGATGTCTGTGTGAGAGGTTCTTTGCCTTCTAGGCCTTTGCCTGGGGCGGATGTCTGTGTGAGAGGTTCTTTGCCTTCTAGGCCTTTGCCTGGGGCGGATGTCTGTGTGAGAGGTTCTTTGCCTTCTAGGCCTTTGCCTGGGGCGGATGTCTGTGTGAGAGGTTCTTTGCCTTCTAGGCCTTTGCCTGGGGCGGATGTCTGTGTGAGAGGTTCTTTGCCTTCTAGGCCTTTGCCTGGGGCGGATGTCTGTGTGAGAGGTTCTTTGCCTTCTAGGCCTTTGCCTGGGGCGGATGTCTGTGTGAGAGGTTCTTTGCCTTCTAGGCCTTTGCCTGGGGCGGATGTCTGTGTGAGAGGTTCTTTGCCTTCTAGGCCTTTGCCTGGGGCGGATGTCTGTGTGAGAGGTTCTTTGCCTTCTAGGCCTTTGCCTGGGGCGGATGTCTGTGTGAGAGGTTCTTTGCCTTCTAGGCCTTTGCCTGGGGCGGATGTCTGTGTGAGAGGTTCTTTGCCTTCTAGGCCTTTGCCTGGGGCGGATGTCTGTGTGAGAGGTTCCTTGCCTTCTAGGCCTTTGTCAGGGATAGTAAGACAGTGGAAGGAGGATGGTTTATCTAGCTGTCTGTCTGGGCTTAGAGTGTCCTAAACTGGCTGTGGCAGAGACCTAAAGAATTCTAACCTGGCCGGTGGAACAGGCCAAAAAAACTGAGAGGTATTGACTGGTCTGGGCTTACAAAATCTACACTGACCTGTGACAGAGGCCCAAAGAGACCTACATATGTTCTATGGCAGACATAAAAAGATACTGGAAGACAGTAGTCTGTCTGGGCCTAAAGAGTTCTCTGAGAAGTCTATTAAAGGGATTTTAGGTGCTCTTGTTGGCTATTCTGTACCCCTAATCCTCTCTCCCTAGACAACTGAGCCAATAAATTACAAGAAAAGGGTCGACTGTTGGCTGCTGTTGGTTGGTCAGTGGGTGTCTGGGTGTAGCTGCAGGGCAGGTCACCATTAGGATGGCTAGGATGGTCCGTAAAATCCAGAAGCTCCTTGGGGGAGGGGGGGAAGGGGGTAATTGCTACACTAACAATCATCTTTATTGCTCTGTGCGAATCAGATTGCAGGATGCCAAAGAATCACAGTTGAAAGTCTGAACCTGACTGGTGACTAAGGGGCGTTACACAATCCATAGTACCGTTATGTTCACTCATGAGGTCACGTGTACTCCCCGACTGCCTATTCTACTGTATCTAATTGTAGTTCCAGCCAGCTGATTTATGAACTCATGTGCCGGGACTGAAGAAGAAACAAGTGCCCATAGCCTGACTGAGAGGGACTGCTGGATTCTGCTTTCCTCCTGCAGGCAACTTGGTGGTCTTCCATCCTCAGGAACTCCTCATTGGTCAATGTTCTACAGCTTGGTCCATTTGCCACACGTCATACTCTGAACACTGTCTATCCTGATGTGTTCCTGTCCTATGACTCTTCCTGAACACTGCCTACCCTGATGTGTTCCTGTCCTCTGACTCTTCCTGAACACTGCCTACCCTGATGTGTTCCTGTCCTCTGACTCTTCCTGAACACTGCCTACCCTGATGTGTTCCTGTCCTCTGACTCTTCCTGAACACTGCCTACCCTGATGTGTTCCTGTCCTCTGACTCTTCCTGAACACTGCCTACCCTGATGTGTTCCTGTCCTCTGACTCTTCCTGAACACTGCCTACCCTGATGTGTTCCTGTCCTCTGACTCTTCCTGAACACTGCCTACCCTGATGTGTTCCTGTCCTCTGACTCTTCCTGAACACTGCCTACCCTGATGTGTTCCTGTCCTCTGACTCTTCCTGAACACTGCCTACCCTGATGTGTTCCTGTCCTCTGACTCTTCCTGAACACTGCCTACCCTGATGTGTTCCTGTCCTCTGACTCTTCCTGAACACTGCCTACCCTGATGTGTTCCTGTCCTCTGACTCTTCCTGAACACTGCCTACCCTGATGTGTTCCTGTCCTCTGACTCTTCCTGAACACTGCCTACCCTGATGTGTTCCTGTCCTCTGACTCTTCCTGAACACTGCCTACCCTGATGTGTTCCTGTCCTCTGACTCTTCCTGAACACTGCCTACCCTGATGTGTTCCTGTCCTCTGACTCTTCCTGAACACTGCCTACCCTGATGTGTTCCTGTCCTCTGACTCTTCCTGAACACTGCCTACCCTGATGTGTTCCTGTCCTCTGACTCTTCCTGAACACTGCCTACCCTGATGTGTTCCTGTCCTCTGACTCTTCCTGAACACTGCCTACCCTGATGTGTTCCTGTCCTCTGACTCTTCCTGAACACTGCCTACCCTGATGTGTTCCTGTCCTCTGACTCTTCCTGAACACTGCCTACCCTGATGTGTTCCTGTCCTCTGACTCTTCCTGAACACTGCCTACCCTGATGTGTTCCTGTCCTCTGACTCTTCCTGAACACTGCCTACCCTGATGTGTTCCTGTCCTCTGACTCTTCCTGAACACTGCCTACCCTGATGTGTTCCTGTCCTCTGACTCTTCCTGAACACTGCCTACCCTGATGTGTTCCTGTCCTCTGACTCTTCCTGAACACTGCCTACCCTGATGTGTTCCTGTCCTCTGACTCTTCCTGAACACTGCCTACCCTGATGTGTTCCTGTCCTCTGACTCTTCCTGAACACTGCCTACCCTGATGTGTTCCTGTCCTCTGACTCTTCCTGAACACTGCCTACCCTGATGTGTTCCTGTCCTCTGACTCTTCCTGAACACTGCCTACCCTGATGTGTTCCTGTCCTCTGACTCTTCCTGAACACTGCCTACCCTGATGTGTTCCTGTCCTCTGACTCTTCCTGAACACTGCCTACCCTGATGTGTTCCTGTCCTCTGACTCTTCCTGAACACTGCCTACCCTGATGTGTTCCTGTCCTATGATTCTTCCTGAACACTGCCTACCCTGATGTGCTCCTGTCCTATGACTCTTCCTGAACACTGTCTACCCCGATGTGTTCCTGTCCTATGACTCTTCCTGAACACTGTCTACCCTGATGTGTTCCTGTCCTATGACTCTTCCTGAACACTATTTACCCTGATCAGTTCCTGTCTTTCTGATCTGCCTGAACAACACCTAACCTAACCTGTTTATTCTCTGTGACTCTACTTGAATGCTAAATGTTGACCACGGATGTTTTTGGACTATGTATTTTCCTGTCGGGTTGGTACTTTGATTATCTACCTTCATATTTGTCAGTGGAATGAGTTAGAACAGCAAAACAAGAACCTACCTGAAGGGGCTATTCATTTGGATTGGAGGTTCCTTAGGTTCATTTACCTAAAGCAACCCAAACCTCCCAGTAGTGAAAGAGAGTGTTTGCATTGCCCATGGCACTGACATGGGATATTTTCACTGTTGATTGTTATCATTGCTGCTGAACTTTAATAAATAATATGATATAGTAATACATATGAATCCCTTTCCCCAGCAACTGTGTCTGGATGTAGATCAAAGAGCCCTTACCTCCTTGGTTCATGGAGCCCCAGCCAGTGACGTAGCAGTTAATGCCGCTGGGGAACTGGACATTCTCGGCAGGGATACAGATTGGCATGATGTAGTCCGTGTACTGTATAGAGTTCCGCAGTTTGATAAGGGCGATGTCTCCGCTGGAACCGTCCCGCTGGTAGATGGGGTGGATGTTAATTGCACTGACTTGAGACATGACCCCACTGGGTATTGACAGCTGGTAAGCTCCAAGGTTCACCATGTAATCAGCTGGAGAGTAGGGCCTGGTGGTAAGAGAAGAACATCACAACACCAAATGTCCACCAACAAATAGGAGAATTCAGATAACGTATGAACATTTCTTGCTTTCATCTCTTCCTTACAGCAGCTACATTGTGAGTACATAGCCCCATCATATCCTGGCTTGGGGTGTTCAACTCTCCTCTGTGGTCTCACAGTGAACAGGCACATCACACCCCAGTCCACCCTAAAACTCCTCCGATGACAAGACACACACTGCCACCTTATATACATCTTACTGGTCAGCTCCAGGTTTCACCTCTCGGGAGGTGAGCGTACAGCTTCTCCTTTTGCAGGGCACCTTCAGTTGCAATATTTGTTACCCATGAGAAGGGTCATGTTAAAGCATAGGTGAGGTTGGTACGCCTTGAGGAAAAAAGGAACACCTCAAGCAGGGGGCGTAACTAGAAATCACAGGGCCTCATTGCAAAATTTTATATGGGGCCCCGTGATTTCTAGTTATACCCCTGGCAGAGCCCACTCGAGATCCCACCTGAGGGTGAACCTGCTGCAGAGCCCACCATAGACTCTCTATGGTGGGCTATGCAGGGTCACCCTCAGGTGGGCGGGTCGCACTCCTTACCTGTCTGCCTCCTCTTCCTCCACGGTCGCTGATAGGCCCCGCCTCCTCCGTCACCGGGCCCGCCTCCTTCTTCGTCACCGGGCCCCAGCTCCTCCCCTGCTGCCCACCACGGGCCCCGCCTCCTCCTCCACTGCCGCTGCTGGCTCTCATTGACTCTGTGGAAAGGAACGCGCCGCTGCACAGATTACTGTCAGTGATCCGAACAGCGGCGTGTTCGTCTTCAGCCGCCAGTGAAAGCCGCCAGCAGGGGATCCCATAGCGACCCAGGCGGCCCGCACGGCATCTGGCCGGGCCCCACTGTGCCCCGGGCCCCATAGCGGCTGCCTGGGGTCGCTATGGTGATTGTTACACCAGTGACCTCAAGGTAGGTATAAACAGAGGCGGGAACGACTCATCCTCCCGACTTTAGGAAATGGGAAGGAAGGGCAACTTTTACTGCAAGCATATGTTGGGAAAAGGCCTCAGGAGGCCTCCAAGCATGCAGACTATGAAGAATGAGAGAGGGAAACACATTTCCATGCATATAGTGTAACTGGCAACATCAGCAAAAAAAAAGGATTCTACACAAATTCAAATGACTAAACCACTTCAATGTTAATCATTTTTTTTTTTTGCTTTGAGTCAGCATTTCAGAGTGAGCAAAGGGATAACTTAAAGGTTGGATATAAAGTCCAAAGGAACACAAACAATACAAATCTGCCCTAAGATCCTCAGACCTAAGAGAAAGACAATTGTGGCAGAACACGGGCAGAGGGACTTGGTTTCTATGATGGGATTGTCTCTAGTCTGTAACCATACAACTATGGCAGACAAATCCCACCAGTGGAGATATAAGAAGTCTGCACTGAGCTCATCAGACTCCAGCTACATTTCAAATATCTTTCTGTTGAATTGGACTTTACTGCATCATATACATGAAACAAGCAACAATTCAGCCAACATGCAAACGTTTGCCAATACATGCATTGAACTGTACAATAGATGGCACTTACCCTACAAATCACCTACCGTACAAAGCAGTGTGCAGCGGTCAGCACCCACTGGGAGTCAATCATGACCCCCCCGCAGATATGGTAGCCATTCTTCCTCAGGCTGATCTGCCAGGGCCATTCCCCATAGAAGGCATCCTGTCCACCCACAATGCGATCTGATGTCATCGGCTTCCCACAACCTGTGCAGAATCAGAAACCATCATTGCCCACCTGCAGGCTGTGGATGGTTGGGCAGTTTGCATGGAAGATATCAATTATTTTATTTCTAGAAGTTAGAAGACTCACCTGAGTAAGATGATGAGAGATGAAGACCTGAAAGACAAGGAAACAAGGTAGTATGTCAGCTCGAGGAACTATTATGCACTGTTCAGGTACAGTGAGACGATCTGCCCTCATTTTGGGTCACTTATCATGTCTTCTGCCACCCCGAGAGTGTCTTTTCATCTCAAAAGACACCCTGAAATATTTTTAGCTATCCTGAGAGAATCTGGTTTTTAGTTGTGGTCACCCATAAGGTCATTCAATTCATTACCCTGAGAGAGTCTAGTGCTGGAAACCTTACCGTGAAACCTTCAGATACAATTAGATAGCACATTCCTCTCTTTGGACACCCAACGTGTCTCCTGTTACCCTAAGGCTGGGTTCACACCTAGGCGTATCGAATATGCGCGTTTGTCGCGCATTTCGTGCCGCGTGTTTTTACAGCGATTTGCAGTAATAAAAAAACGACAAACGCGCGTTTCCGAGGGCTACCTGGCTGTATCCCAAAGGGATACGCGCGGCACATATGCCCCAAAGAAGCTCCTGTACTTCTTTGGGCGTAGGGCGTTTTGCAGCGCGTTCCTACGCGCTGTAAAACGCCCAGGTGGGAACCAGGCCTAAGAGTGTCTGGTGTTCCTAATGGTCACCTATGATGTCTTCAGCTACCCTAAAAGGGTCTGGGTCCTCTCATGGGACACTTATGTCTTCTACTAACTGGAGAGTGTTTGGTCATCATCAGGGTGAGCCACAATATTTTTAGCTATTCTGAGAAAGTCTGGCCTTTTCCTAGGTCACCCATGAGATCTACCATTCCACTTCCCTGAGAGGGTCCAGTCCTTTCACAATCACCCATGGAATCTTCAGATACACTTAGAAAGTCTAATCCTCTCATGGGACACCCATCCTGTCTTTTGTTACCCAGAGAGTGTCCGGTGGTCTCCAGAGTTAAAGGAGAACTATGGGGGTTAGGGCTTTTCCCCATAGTTCTCCTTAGGGTAACGGGAGGACACAAACTAGCGTCCTCCCGTCATCCTAAGCTCAGTATACCGCAAGCTACAGCTCACTATATACTGAGACGCCGCAGCTGAAGCGGATCCCGACAATTATGTCTGGATCCGCCTAGCTCCGTGAGTTACTATGGGAACATCTGTCTTCTTCAGGGTCACCCATGAGATTTTCCACCCACAGAGAGTCTAGTCCTTTTACAAATACAAACCAGAAATCATCAGACTTATTTAGAGATTCTGCTCCTCTTATGGGTCATCTATCACAAGATCTTGGTCCTAATCCCAGAGTTAAGCAACCAATATGTTTTTTTTGTCTCTCTGGGAATCTGGTGATGAGATCTCTGCACACCTGCTGCTACCATTGCAAAAGTCTCAATGTCCCGTTCTTCCTCTGAATATGTCATGTATTTTATACTGAGGAGAGCGCAACAATAAGAGAGAGAGTCCGAAGGGAGCAGGTGCTGAGTAGGAAAATATGACAGAAGGATTTCACCACTGGAGTCCACTCAATATACAAGGAACCAGCGTGTGACTCTGCCCACCAGACTACACCTATACCTGAATGATACGATTGAAGCTCGGATGAGTTATTGCTTCAGAACAAATGTAAAATTATTATAACAAGCGGCCAACTAATTTACAAACACATTGTTAAAAAATGTCTTCATATTGTTACCCTGAAAGACGGGTTTGTATCATTGGGAGTGATGATTACCGAATCAACGTTACACTAATTGGCGTGACAATCACCTAACAAGGAGCCACATTGTCATTGTTGGTGTGTTAGAGGCGGGACTGAGTCACCAGCAAATTAAACCATCATCGGCATAACAGACATTTATTTTTATCTTAAAATGTGGCTGTGGGATTCTTCTCACGTTTCAGAGTTTCCAGAATTTTCTTTGAAGTGAAGCTTGGCCAAATCTGAGTTCCATTTTGGAGATTTCCATCATATTCAAAATGCTGAGATCGCCGCCTGTGGCAGTGAGTTCCAGACCCTAACTGATCTTACTGTGAAGAACCCCCTGAAAAGGTCTTCCACATTCACTTCTCCTCCAAGTCAAGATCAGAAGGAGGTGGAGGCAAGGCGGGATTTACTCTCTCTGCTGCCCCAATGCCAGGTTCCTCAATGCGCCGCCCCTGTATGCAGGCTGCATACAAGTGATCTCGGCGTCATCGCTGAGATCACTTGTACAAAACAAGCGGCGGCTTCCCCGCTCTACATTTAGCTCTGCTTGCCCAAAGCCGGGCTACATGTAGAAAACTACCTGCCCGGCACCCGGAACTACATGTCCCAGGCGTCTGAAGATAGGAATTCCACACCCCTGCTGCCCCTCTACTCCCTGCTGTCCCGAGGCCGGGCCTTGGTTGGCCTTGTGGGACATCCGGCCCTGAGTGGAGGTCTAGGTGTGGTAAAAGTGGTCTTCATTTTCCTTTTTTAAGGGAAATACGCCTTAAGGTGAAAGTTCATCTTTCCATTTTATTTCATGGGGATTTATTTCTCAAATGCTCAGTTTTATCGATGCGCATTGGGTGGCCTCGGTGCCCATTTTAGGTGACAAAACACAGAAATCAATCAGAAAATGAGTTACGTCTCACTAATTCGTAGGCTTTGGGTATATTTTTTGAACAACAAACCCACTAAATCTTATTATTTTTCATTATTGTTTTTCAGAAATGAAGAAATAAGTAATTTTTTATAGTTTTTTATATTCCCACATTGCAGAATTTTAAGCTGTTTTAAAACTGGAGATACAATCTGCACTAAAATCCTGCCCGTCAGATATCATTCATTGTTGTTCGCAGTTTCTTGTGATATTCTGATTTCTCTCTATAATTTCGTTTCACATTCTTAAAAATAAAAAAATCTGGCTGAACTCTGACCTCAGAAAATCTTCTTACCTATAAAAAGACAACATTTAGTGGTCGTACTTACCTGTTGTAAGGAGAAGGGACAGTGTCCACAGATGAAGATGCATCATGGTGTTGGTGGTCAGTAGGTCACAATGGCTCCAGGTGGAATCAAATGAGATTGAATGACCCCCTCCACAGCTCGCAGCAAGTGGGGAGGGGAAGCAAAGACGTTTGATGGTATCAGAATGGAGAATGAAGCAGATCACACGACATGGATGAAATACTGAGGAATACCTGAAGTTGTATTTACAGTTTGGAGCTTCGGAGGTGACGAGGATGTCACTCAAATGAGGTAACACACGCACAGTCATGTAAAGATATTGAGCTGCTATACATCCATCCTCATCGCCTCCTCCCCACATAAAGTTCAGCTGTGCCGACTCCCTGAGTGACTCACCCACGTTTATAGACTGAGAGGCCACAACCCTCTGATAGAAGACTACCTGTATATAGACTGAGAGACCACCACCCTCTGATAGAAGACTACCTATCTATAGACTGAGAGACCACCACCCTCTGATAGAAGACTACCTATCTATAGACTGAGAGACCACCACCCTCTGATAGAAGACTACCTATCTATAGACTGAGAGACCACCACCCTCTGATAGAAGACTACCTATCTATAGAGCAAGAGACCACCACCCTCTGATAGAAGACTACCTATCAATAGAGCAAGAGACCACCACCCTCTGATAGAAGACTACCAATCTATAGAGCAAGAGACCACCACCCTCTGATAGAAGACTACCTATCTGTAGACTGAGAGACCACCACCCTCTGATAGAAGACTAACTATCTATAGAGCAAGAGACCACCACCCTCTGATAGAAGACTACCTATCTGTAGACTGAGAGACCACCACCCTCTGATAGAAGACTACCTATCTATAGAGCAAGAGAACACCACCCTCTGATAGAAGACTACCTATCTATAGAGCAAGAGACCACTACCCTCTGATAGAAGACTACCTATCTATAGACTGAGAGACCACCACCCTCTGATAGAAGACTACCTATCTATAGAGCAAGAGACCACCACCCTCTGATAGAAGACTACCTATCTGTAGACTGAGAGACCACCACCCTCTGATAGAAGACTACCTATCTATAGAGCAAGAGACCACCACCCTCTGATAGAAGACTACCTATCTGTAGACTGAGAGACCACCACCCTCTGATAGAAGACTAACTATCTATAGAGCAAGAGACCACCACCCTCTGATAGAAGACTACCTATCTGTAGACTGAGAGACCGCCACCCTCTGATAGAAGACTACCTATCTATAGAGTGAGAGACCACCACTCTCTGATAGAAGACTACCTATCTATAGACTGAGAGGCCACAACCCTCTGATAGAAGACTACCTATCTGTAGACTGAGAGACCACCACCCTCTGATAGAAGAGTACCTATCTATAGAGCAAGAGACCACCACTCTCTGATAGAAGACTACCTATCTATAGATTGAGAGACCACCACCCTCTTACCTATCTATAGACTGAGAGACCACCACCCTCTGATAGAAGACTACCTATCTATAGACTGAGAGACCACCACCCTCTGATAGAAGACTACCTATCTATAGACTGAGAGACCACCACCCTCTGATAGAAGACTACCTATCTATAGACTGAGAGACCACCACCCTCTGATAGAAGACTACCTATCTATAGACTGAGAGACCACCACCCTCTGATAGAAGACTACCTATCTATAGACTGAGAGACCACCACCCTCTGATAGAAGACGACCTATCTATAGAGCAAGAGACCACCACCCTCTGATAGAAGACTACCTATCTATAAACTGAGAGACCACCACCCTCTGATAAAACACTCTGGTAGAAAACTGTCTGTTTATATAAAAAGATACCATCACTTTATGACAAACGTCTACGTGTCTACAGAATGAGAGACCACCACTCTCTGATAGAACAGAGCAAGATACCACCACTCTCTGACAAAAAACTACCCATTTATAACATGAGGGACCACCACTTTCTGACCGAAGACTACCTATGTAAGGAGAAAGACCACCACTCCATGACAGAAGACTATCCACCACTCCATGACAGAGAGACCACTAATCACCCACAGAAGACTATCCATCTGTGGAACAGGAGGCCACTAGTCCCTGACAGATTACTGATCTATAAAGAGAAAGAGCACCACACCATGACAGAAGACTAGTCATCCATAAAACAAAACACCACTACTAGTATAATTCATCATCACAAGTGTTCCCCTCATAATACATGGAGTTGATCTCTGTATGATGTCTACAAAATGAGAGGTTACCACTCCTATAAATCCCTAATAAAAGCCTACCTGTCTATAAAGGACATTACCATTACCATTATAAAGAAACACCACAAGAGGGCCCACCAGATACATACATTGGTTCTTTTCATCTCTGGAAAATGAGTTTCCACAACTTCACGACAAAGTAAATAATGGGAGGCCATCACTTCCTGACAGGAGACCACCAACACAGGGACTGTGAGGCCCACCAAAATCATGGATTAGATCTCCATGGGATGTTCAGCTGAATCATTGATCTTGTGTTGGTTGAATATTTTCTTACTGAATATTTCTGTGTTTCTGTAAAAGTCTGAAATGGAAAGTTGAACGTTTACAGTGAAACGCTGAAATACCTGCAGAGGATATTTTGGAAGAACATAGGTCACCTTCTCCAGATTTCATCCCTTGAAGATCATTCTGGGTTATGGTGGCAAAACCGCAGAACATTTGTAGAAGTTGGAGGGGGTTTTCGGGAGACAGAAGGATATATTTCATGTTTTGTCACATAGAATTCTGATTTTATTTTCCAATCACTGAGCGAAGGATGAGTGAGCGGGCCGGCATTGATTCACTGGAGGAAAAGTACGATGTCGTCCCTCAGAAGTGATAATAAATGTAAATAAGAAGTAATAAAATGACATGAGGTTCCCCGTGTGGTTCAAACTGGACCATTATCCTGTTATTCTACCTGAATGTCAAGGAAAGGGAGGACAGGAAATATGCAACAATGGGGGAGTGGGGGGTCTATAGACAGGTAGTCTTCGATCAGAGGGGTGGGGGGTGTACACCTTACAATGAGGATGGCAAGGCTTTTTGCCCCATGCAAGTCACCTGATAGAAATGTTGGGGGGACAGGGGCCTCCTTCCCACCTCCAGGGCCCCGAAAGCAATGTAGCGGTTTGTGGTGGAGACTTTTAGGAACTAATAGGGACCTGGAAGTCACTTTACAAAAACGGGGGCCCCAGATATCTACCCCACCAGTGGATCCACGAACCCAAATCTTGTCTATACATAGAGCCTAATGTGGGCGGACACCTCAATCTTTGTGTGTTTATGTCTCTTTATAGTATTATATATATTGGAGAATATCACACAACACAAAGATCTGAATTCTGGATACAATTCTAAGATATGATCCATAATGAATGATCTGTAAAAGGCTCCGATAGAAGCTGATCGTCCATCTGTACTCACCTATTGCTGTTTTTCATCTCAATCTTTTTATCTGACTCTATCATCCATGAAAACAGGAGCCAGAAAATAATTAGTGTGTACCCTTCCGTGTAGAGCGACACATTTCTAGTGTGTCCCCGTGGCATCAAATGTGACATTGAGACGTGCCAAGTCTGCTGCCAGCCTAGAGCGGCACATTACAAGAGGGACACGAAAAAATTAGCTGTAAGCAGAATATTCTCAGTATCTGTACGTATTCTGTATGTATGGACTCTGCACAGTACCACTTCCCTTATTCCATATGCCGGGTGTCATTCTCTGTATCTGTTCTTCCTCAGTTGCTGAGTGACAAACAGCCATTGTAATATCTTTTGCTGTTAAAAAATAGACACATATTTATAAACATTGCTCAGAGGGGGATAGAGAGATACAAAGTAACATTGTTTATAA